CCTCGCTTTTCGACACTTTAAAGAAATCTGTGCAGCTGTGTTACCCAAGGCAAAGTGCCATTTCATCTCTTCAATGATTTCCATGAGCATTGATTGTGGATCTAAGCAAGATCAAATCCTTGACCACTTCCAACTTTTCTCCATTTATCACAATGGTAACGCTTGGTCCAGGGTGTGGATTTTGGTTTTCTTTGCATGGAATTGTAGTCCATACTGAAGGCTGCAATCCTTGATCTTCATCGGCTGGTGCTTCGCGTCCTCCTCACTTTCAGCAAGCAAGGTTGTGTCATCGGTATAGTGCCAGCTGTTAATAAGCCTTCCTCCAAGCCTGATGCTGAATTCTCATTCATATAATACATTTGCTGTATTGATTTTCCCCGCATGGCAATTGAATAAATATCGTGAGAAGATACAACCCTGCTGCACACCTTTCCTTATTTTAAACCATGCTTTATTCCTTTGTTCTGTTCTCACATCTACCTCATGATCCATGAATAGGTTCGGCACAAGCACAATTAAGTGTTTTGGAATTCTCGTTCTTTTTAAGGCAATCTGTAAGTTGCTGTGGCCCACCCAGCCAAAGACTTTTGCATAGTTTCAGCCAAGAGCCATGTGACATCAGCAGAATGTTTAAAATAAATAAAAGCTGTCACAACACAATTCATTGAAAAAATTGAGCTCTCTTATGTTCACATCTGTATAGGTAATAACACTAAGTATTAAAGTGATAAATCATAGTTGGAGTGAAATGTTCTCTGTTTTATATTCAATGAGATAAAGGGTTGAATTTTGTTAACAAGTGATATGAATTACATTCCTTTTTTCTGGCCCCTAAGGCTCAGTTTTGCTGTTCCATACATCAAGGATGAGTTTTATTAAAGTCCTTCTTAAAATTGAACTCTTTTATTCTGCATAGTTTCATTAAAATTCACAGCCCTAAATTAATAACACCTCACTGTAATTATTTGGGAACAAATAAGTGAATTATATTAAAAGATATTATGTACCCAAATGATATTTATCTGACTTTGACATGCCCGGGAAGCTATACAATCATCATAAAAACATCATGCTACCAAAGATTTGTATATACCGGGAAGAAGATAATTTACAGTTCAACTTATACAATTTACACTTTTCTTAATCTAATCAATATATATTAAGATATATTACATATTGAATTAGGCAGTATCAAGTCCTAAATCTTGTACACAGCTATTCACGTCCTCCACCTCTTAAATATTCAACCATTCACTCGCCACTGAATCAATCCCCTCAGCTATTAAGCATACTGATGTTTCTCTAACTAAAAAATAATCCTTTTCTTTTTTATCCCCGCCTTTCCTAAAGCCATTCTTGCTTCCATTTCCATTATTCCACATAAATTGGCTTTCCCAATTTCAATAATGGCTTTGATTTGATGAACATTTTTAATGTGCCACATTTACCTTTTGAATATACTCAAATAGCTTACTATACCCAATCTTGCAGGACCCTCTTCCCCTGACCTCTTTGTCCCAACAACTCTCCCTGGATTTCCCACCACCTCTCACTACTCTTCTTTGAGTCTCTTTTACAGGCTCATCTTCCTCGAATTTCATACTAAACGATGTAATTCTAGACTAAGGGTAATTCTTTTTGCACTATGCCCTTTCCTTAGGCAACCTAATCAGTACTAGAAAAAAATAAAAATGCTAGTTCTAAGGACATGATTCATACAATTCATATCTCCTTCCCAGAACCACTCTTCATACTTGAATAACTGAGTATATACTTCCAATTAACTCTCTCAAAGGTACCTAACACATCAGCATGTCAGATACGAATAAGATGTCTCCATGTTCCTGTTTCCCTCCCAATGCTGTTACCTCAAGGATAACGCGAGGACCATCCCAGGAAGCAAACCAGAAACCCAAGACTCAACCTTAAGCTCACCTTCTGCACTCCATAAACCATCAATCATGAAGTCCCACTGATTTCACTTCCTAATATGTTTGTCTGCAGGGCATCTGCCTTAGTCTATTTCCACCACGACGTCCAGTCTAGTGTGAGCCACCATCTCCCATGCAGAGTCCAATGACTTCCTAACCAGTCTCTCCGTGTCTACTCTGAAGCCCATACACCGCCCCCCTCTCCAAATGGCATGGTCAAGAGCCACCCTATGAGGCTGCCAAGGCTGCCATTCGTAGAGAAGCAGACTGCCACACTTCCTTCCCTCGGAGGGGCTGGTGGATGCCAACCACCGACCTCTCTGTGACCAGCCCAGTGGCTGAACCGCTGCCCCACCAAGTCTCCTTCCCTCAACCCAGCCTGCGAACTGCAGTGCGTGCATTTTCAAAAACACAG